GCTAAAGAAAATACAAATTCAGGAGACACACAAACATTTATTGAACAAACAAAATTTAAAAGAAGTCCTGGGAGACAAACAAGAGGAAATTAGTGGTTTCCAGCAAAAAACTACAATTAAAAAAAACTACCTTGGTAGGTGCTTGGCTATTACAGAATGGTGGGGTTGACATGCAAGAGAAGTGATAGCTGCTATGGAAACAAGGGTAGGAAGACCCAGATGTAAATCAGAACCCGAAGGTAGAACCCTCGAACAGTGAGGGTTCACAGAAATAGGGGACGGCTCCTCACAGACGGGAGTCCTACTTAAAAATAGTTTCGGAGTATTAATGCAGACACTTCCCCTCAGCTCGATGGTTTAGCTGTAGCTGTAATAACGATTAAATCCGCAAGAGGGTGAGAAAAGGTCCCCGACAACGAAATTCACCAATGAAGGCCGATTTCTATAAAAACTTCCTACAACCCGGCAATACCACAGCACTGGGTGTGAAATTGTTTCACTAACGAAGATTGTGGCGGATGAACTGCTACACGAGAGCACAGAGAAAAACACCAAGTCTCGTTCAGATCTCGTATTTAAAGTAGTCCATATCATCCAAATGAACTACTTGGAAAAATCAATCTAATCAACACTGAATTTTCCAAGAATTTTCAACTAATTGGACATTATACGAGCCCCTTCCCACTTCAGTTGGCCCACTTCAAGATTTGTTCCAAAATATGCCTTTATAAACTGAACATGACGAAACTATTTACTTCTAAAACAATTTATCTTCTCAAAAACATTTTAGATACGCTCTAGTCGTAAAAAATACATTTTTGAAATCACTTAGACCTATAACTAATAGAACACCTGAACAAATAAACAATGTGCGAATAAATGCGCGGAGTTAACAAAGCAACAATTGAAAGATTACATTGGGTAACATCACCTTTATTTTTTATTACGGCTGAAATTCTTTGGGGCATAGTGTTAACCAAGTTTTGGTAAAAGTTTGGTGTAAAACAATCCCATATTTCTTGAAGCTTTTGTCTCAGTTCGGTGATTGTACGAGCAGGATGTTGTCGTAGAACCTTTTTCATCTCGTGCCACAAAGTTTCAATAGGTGACAGATCTGGACTGCTAGAAACCCATTTTAAAACTGGTGCATTATTTTCTTCCAACCATTTTATAGCCTTTTTTGAGGTATGGCACGCTGCACCATCTTGCTGAAACACAAAATCTTGGCCGGATGTCAAACATTCTTCCATCACTGGTAAAAGCGATTCTTCTAAAATTGCCAAATATTTGTTTGTATCCACATTTCCAACAATAAAATGAAGATTTCCTACTCCTTTCAATGACATACTCCCCAGGCCATAATGGATGCTGGAAATTTCACTTTTCTCTTCAGACAGTCAACATGGAATGTTTCATTTTTTTGCGAATATTTCTACTGCGACTGTCACCAACACAAACTTCGAATCGGGCCTCATCACTCCATTGTATTGCACACCATTGTTGAAGTGTCCATTGCCTATGTTCTTCAGCCCATCTAAGCCGATTTTTCTTTTGCAATGGAGTTAATAGTGGCTTTTCTTTGGCTTATAAACAAGTTGTGCAACTTTAGGGTTTTTACTGTACTTTTTTTATAAGAAAACTTACCTTGCAAGTGCTAAATCCCAGTTTGTGGGCCTCTCTATGAGTTGTGGACCTCAAAATGAATGCTCTTCGGTTGGCAATATTACTTTTTTTCACATATCGTGGCTTAATATTAACTGAACCAGTTACGTTACATCTTCTAACAATATTTCTCACACTGTACCGCGATAAGTTTGATTTACCAGAATTAAAAAATTTAATTATCAGTAACCGAACTTTCTCACTAATAACCTTTCCTTTACCCATTTTGAAAACCTTAACTACCCAAAACTATTTTAAACGTATTCTGACATCTGTGATTAATAAAAACAATTGTCAGTTCTTTTATTTTTCACAGCCAAATATGCGTTATTATTTTGCATTGAAATGAAAGTAGGTTGATATGCTGTAATTGCAATATATGTTATATTATCAAAATATTGTTAATATTTTAAACCTATAACACCCTGCTACATTTTTATTATTTGTGTTTGATAAGAAAAAACTAAGATTTCAATAGTTGGGCCAACTGAAGTGGGAAGGGGCTCGTATTACCCGAAAAACACTGCAATAATGAAATAATTATGAGTGTTAACCTAACAACAACAATTCTATAATGAAACAATTCCCGTTTAAAAGCATATGACGTAATTTTGAGAAAGGGTCAGATGTACTTTATGGTCATAAAGTTGTAATAAACAAACGGTTATAAAATTATTAGAAATAGTTAATTAATTAAGACATCACAGAATCAAAGTACTCATTTAGAATAAAGAGAAGGTTGCGATTCAGGTGTTGAACTATGCCGTCAATTGTACCATAAAAATTACAGTTAATACTCGGTGGCCATCCCTGCACTGATCATACTGCACGCCCTCTATTGTCGAACAGAAACATTAATTACATTTTGGCAATGACCTTTAAAAGAGATGAAGAGTAGAGTACGATTTTCTCCACAAAACTAGGGGAACATGAGATGCGTTTTGCTATAGAAATAAAATTCAATATTTTGAGGAAATGTTATATAATTATTATTCTTATTAAGAAAAACGTTGTAATAATTTACTTTATCGAGATATAGTTAAATTTTAGCTGACCATAAAAAGAAACTGTAAAACCCTACAAAATAACCTTTCCACAGCCTGTCGTTAATCAGAACCTCGCATTACCTCACCTTCCAAACAAGGTGATGCCTCCAGAATCATGTGATATTCCTTTTACTTCTTTAGTATCAATAATTGAGCGCGCACGCTTTCCATCCCCCCCCCTCGCCCATTTTCGTATTAGGATGTCTAATCCAAGTGATAATAATTACCAGCGCAAAGTGTGTCAATTATGAGACATGTCTGTCCCCTCATCTCGACTAGTCGTAGGGTTTCGATTTCCTCAGGCAAATAAGATTAGCAACCCTCGCTAATTGAAATGACGGAAACCAAGATGCTGTTAATTATTTCTTGATAAAGTGCCGCGCGGCGTAATGAACGGACTACGTCTTGGATTTAGGCGGTTTTCGAGTAATAGAGGAGGGCGGCTTACAGATAAGCTTAATTGAGGTTTGATGGGCGAGTGGCTTTCGTACTATGGATACCTCAACGCCACTCGTTGGGTGCGATTCCTATTCGATGAATTGGGTTTGCTTGCTTTCCGTCTCTGTAACCGCGATAACGTTGTTTCGTGGGTATCAGCAATCATCAGTACGATATAGATCGTCTACATCAGAGTTCCCCAAACTTTTTTGTGTCGTAGACCCCTTGCCATGTTTTTCCGTGTTGGGTAGACCCCCTACTTACCTGATATTGATTTTCTGTAAATTTCTAACTGTAGTGAAGTTTATTGTTAAAAACTTAAATTAAAAACACATGTTAATTTATACATTTATTAATTGAATTTAAATTAAAACTACTCAAAATAAAATTTTGTATCTGTTATGTAAAATATATGTAACATTAAATAAACAGGTGTCTGCCCGCATTGGGAATAAGTGCCCGCATTGAAGAAAAAATAAGAGGGATAAAATAAAAAAAAGTGAAAAATAATAAAAAAAAAGTTTTTTACTTAAAATAGTACAATAAGCGAGTTCGTTTATTAATTATAACATAGCGTATGTTCTACAATAATTTCACTGTTAGTTTGATTAAATTCCGCTTCTTATACGTTTAAGTTATCTAAAAATAGGCAAAAAATTAACGAATTTTAGTATGTACCTATCATTGAATTTTCAGAATAAAATAATGTTTTCTATAAAGGGGGGTTCTTTAAAAAAATCAATGCGGGCACTTATTCCCAATGCGGGCATTTATTGGTCAGACACCAATAAACATAAAATAAACTATAAATAAAATAAAAACAATAAGTCAGTATTTTTAGTGAGAAGGATGAACCTGATGCTTTAATTATAAATTATTAACATTTGGCGTCAAATTTGTAAGGGTTAATCTTAAATTTCCTCGGCTAATGATGTCCAGTCTGTTTCTTTTTTTCGTTAGGAGATTGGTAACAGCGCTGAACCCCATTTCCACTAGGTATGACGATGGAAAGGAAAATAAAAATTTCCTCGCTATATTCCATAATACGGGATAAGTAACGGGTATGTTGTTTTGCAGCCAGAATTGCTGATATCCGTTTTTAAACTGAACCTTACGTTCTTCGTTTGTACTTAGTTCAGTCAGTTCCTCTTGTATTATGACATTCGTTTCTTCTATGTCACCATATGGATTAATTATCCACGGTGGTATTACCATAGTCTAAATATCCTCAAACCTAGATTCAAAATCTGAATAGAGGGCATTTAAATGTTGAACGTAAGTTGAAACGTCGTCTTCCTGGCAGCTTGTCTGTGACAAATTGGGGAACTGAGAAAATTCGCCCCGTCCAATATTTTGCTTCATTAGTTTAACTCTGGCAAGAAACGCTGATAAGATGGACTTTGTTTTAATCAAATTTAAACTGTCGCCTTGTAATTGCAAATTAACCATATTAAATTTTGTAAACAAATCTGTTAAATAGGCGATGTCTGTTTTCCTCTTCATTAAATTTTCCTTTAAAATTTTATCTTTAGTATCCAGAAATTCTAAAATAGTCTCAAATAGTGCAAAAAATCTTGTCAAACATAAGCCTTTCGACAGCCGGCGTACTTCAGTGTGAAGGAGTAATTGATGAAAGTGTTCGTCATTTTCTTCACACAACTGCGCAGATAACCGCGTATTCAACGCGTTGCTACGGATTCGGTTTACTGCATCAATGACTAAATGAAGTGATTAATGCAATCTAACACTCAAATTTTTAGCAACTAAATGTTGTCGATGGATGACGCAATGTATTGCTAACACCCCTGATACATTTTGTTTTAAATAGCTTATAAATCCACGATAACGTCCAACCATGGCAGGTGCTCCATCTGTAGCTACTGATATTATATTTGATAAAAGAATTCCTGTTTCAATGAAGTAATCCTTCAAAACTTGAAATATTGATTCACCTTTAGTGTCGGTTATCAAAGTTCTTGCGAAGAGCAGATCTTCGTAGATTTCTTGATTCATAATAAAACGAACATATGCCAATAATAATGCTGCATTATCAGGTAAAGTTGACTCGTCCAGTTGTATAGAGAAATGGGTCGTTTGTAAATAATTACATAAGAAGCTTTCAATATCAGAACTCATTTCATCAATACGTCTTTCAACAGTATTGTTGCTTAATGGAATTCTTTTAATGATATCAGATGCAGGTTTGTGTAAAACAGTTTTTAAAACCTCTTCAACGGCTGGCAAAATTAACTTCTCTCCGATAGTATGCGGTTTTCCGGATTTTGCTATAAGTAAAGAGATATAGTAAGACGGCCGTAAACCATCATCATTTCTTTGTGACGTCGAAGCGAACATTCTGTCCAGTGTAGGTCTCTTCTGAAATTTATTTTTGAGTGTTTGAAAGTATTTCAAATCTTTCTCTGCTTTATCAGGGTGGCATCTTCTCAGATGATCTTGCAGTTTAGATGGTTTCATAGCGTCATTGCCCAAAACTTTGTTGCATAAAAGGCACATAGGCGATTGTTTGTCCGGCAATGATGGAATGAAGCCAAATTTCAAATAATCAACACTGTTCTGTCTACATTTCTTTTCAGATTCGGACATGGCATCAGTCATCTGTGGGCATAATTCAATTATTTAAATAAGACAGAAAATCCAGCAGCTGTATATTAAAAATATTTTTTGATTTTTCTGAAAACATTCCATAATTCGAACATCTTCTTGCAACAATTAGCTCGAATTACGGAGATTGCACTGTAATTATATTACCGATTGCTAAAACTTTCCAAAAGAAACTATTGAGGAGTACTCGTGTAATTTTGCATGACTGAATATTTAACTACTAATAACTAAAGTCATGATTGGCGTAATTTATCTGTCTTTGCTAACTATGAGTACAAAACTAAAATTTAATAAAAAATATTGTACTTACTTTTCTCCAGCACTCTCAAACAAAATAATACTGACTCACTATAATTTGTGTGATATACTATCTGTTTATATCTTTTAAAATATTTTCTTAGCACTTTCCTTCTCAAGATTCAGGAAAAGAATAAACGTATTTGTCCCACATTCGTATTTATAGAGTGACGAATTGAACAAGTCAGTGCAAGGTAGCGAAGCTCTGTGACTGCGACTCGAAATGTATTGCGACCACAATTTTATAAACATATACAGGGTGGGGCAAAAGTCGCGAAGGGATTTGAAAAATTAATAACTTTTTTAAATTTTAATTTTAATTTTTTTCCCTAACACAAAACTAAAATGCAATGTTTGGAGTTTGTTTACAATTTAAGTGTGAAAGATTACATCACGCAAATGACCGCCATTTTCAGCCTCGCAAAGTGCAGCTCTTGCAAGAGCATTTTCCATTACCCGAGTCAGAATATCTGGCCCCAAAGCACTTACTTCTGCTCGAATATTATCTTTTAGTTGCTGCAGGGTTGTGGGTTTATTAATATACACTTTTCCTTTCAGATATCCCCAAAGGAAATAATCAGGGGCTGTTAAGTCCGGCGAGCGGGCGGGCCAATTGAATCCTGAATTTCTCGAAATTAAACGTTCGCCAAAAATCTGCCTTAGAAGGTGCATAGTGGCTCGAGCAGTATGCGCAGTGGCTCCATCTTGTTGGAAAGTCATCGTTTGATTGTCAACAAGAGCTGGTCTTAAGAAATTTTGAATCATATCACGATATCGGTCGCCATCTACAGATACAGCATTCCCATCGTGGTCTTCGAAGAAGAATGGTCCAATAATTCGTTGAGACGTAACTGCGCACCATACTGTGCATTTAAGCGGATGTAATTGCCTTTGATGAACCACCCTTGGGTTCTCGGTACCCCATATTCTGCAGTTCTGCTTATTTACGAAGCCATTCAAATGAAAATGGGCTTCATCGCTCATGATCAGAGAATGAATAAATTCATTATCTTCTCGAGCCATTCTTTGCAAGCGAACTGCATAAGTTAGTCGTTCTTGAAAATCTGCTGGTTTTAGTTCTTGCACTAGCTGCACTTTATATGGAAACAGATGTAAATTTCCTCTTAATATTCTGCGTAAAGACCTTTGAGACATCTGCAGCTCAGCAGAACGTCTTCGGGTTGAGGTTTCCGGATTCTCCTGAACACTCTCCTGAACGCGTTGAATGTTCCTTTCATTTCTTGCGGAACGTGGCCTTCCGCTTCGTGGGAGATCCATAACTGTGCCTTGTTGCTGAAATCGTGCCACTAAGCGTCGAATCATTGATTCAGAGGGCGAATTCCGCAAATTGAAATGACGACGATATGCTCGTTGAGTTTGAATTATTGAATGGTGATATTCAAAATAAAATTCTATAAGTTTGGTTCGTTGATTGAGGTTGTAACGCTCCATAATTAATCTCCAGGATTTATTTTACACGGTCCTGAAAAAAAAAATTAAAACAAAATAAATTTAAAAAAGTTATTAATTTTTCAAATCCCTTCGTGACTTTTGCCCCACCCTGTATAATAAATTTTTTACTTCATAGGTACTTTTATAAATAATGTATATGTTTTGATATTATAAGAAAGTATGATGTAAGTAAATAGGTACTATCAGTGTATGTGTCGAGATCTACTATCGTGGACCCCCATATTCATTTCATGGACCCCCAAATTTTTTTTCGCTGACGTAGACCCCTTGCAGGTTGTCATAGACCCCTAGGGGTCGATATAGACCATTTTGGGAATCAATGGCTCTACGTTCTATAAAGGGCTCGTTTAACTGAAACCCATCATTTGTCAGGTTAGCCTTGGAAACAATTCTAAATACTTAACTGACGTTTTTCAATGCTAGTTGTGTTTGTAAACGTCACGCTGATCAGTTCCTGTCATTTGTATTTGACTGCGATGTTCGCAAATGCAAATTTGTATAACGAATCTTGGAATCTCCATCAAGCAATAAAACGAAATCGTCACATAGTGTCATTCTTCTGCGCGACAATGCTCGGCCTCATGTTGCCAGAGTAGTGAGAGAAAGTCTACAACGAAGGAAATGCAGGAATTAGAGTATCCACCTTATAGTCCGGATTTATTGCCTTGCGATTTTCACATCTTTGGGCCACTGGAGAAGGCGTTAAAGGTGACGCATTTTCAGTCGGACGAAGAAGTCAAAATGACGCAAAAGAGTTCTTCAAGTAACAGCCACAAGGATTCTTTAAACGGTGTATACATTGATTGGTGAAACAATGGGATGTGTGCCTTTAATTTAGTGGTAATCAGGGATCTTTCTTTGGAATCAGACCGGAAGGACATTCTGTGGCTTCGCCTCAACTCCAAAACATCACCCAAATTTATTTGCTGCCTTTATCGCTCTCCATCGAACCATAACTGGGATGACCTACTCGAATACCTCGCCGTCCAGATCGACTTCCTGAACATCAATCACCCCGCTTCAGAGGTAGTTCTCCTCGGTGATTTCAATGCCCATAATGAGCTTTGGTTGGGCTCAAATAAGACCGATGCAGCAGGTCGTGCAGTCTAAGCGTTCGCTCTTACTCAAGGGCTGACCCAGCTGGTGACGAGCCCTACTTTTTTCCCCCGCGTCTCGTCACACGCCAGTAGCCTGCTGGATCTCTTTCTGACCACGCATCCTGCCCCTTACAGCACTGCTGTCCTGTCCCCCCTGGGTAACTCAGATCACGGTGTTGTGGAGGTTAGGTTTCGGTCAGAAGCCGCTGTGGCAGCAGAAACTCGCACAAACTTGGCATTACGGACATGCCGACTGGGAGGGGCTCAGAGACTTCTTCTCTAGCTTTCCTTGGAGAGATGTCTGTTTCACTGACGCGGATGCGTCGACTGTCTGTTCTTCAATAACCGAAATTATCCACGTCGGAATGGAGGAATACATCCCTCACACAGTGAAAGTTCCTAAACCAGGGCCCAACGGCTGGTTCAACAAATCGTGTGACACTGCTCGCCAGCAGAAGATCAAGGCCCACACTATGCGGGAGGTAACATTCAGGCATAAGACCGTAAGACGAGTGCTCTTGTCGCTCGACATCAACAAAGCTTCTGGTCCGGACTTGATTCCTGCCATTGTACTGAAGAGATGTGCAGCGGAGCTTGCTCCAGTTCTTTCGCGTCTCTTCCAGATATCTTATGAATCCGGCACCTTCCCAGAAAACTGGAAATTTGCTCATGTACAGCCCATCCCAAAAAAAAGGATCTAAAACCGACCCTTACAACTACAGGCCTATAGCTCTGCTTTCTGTTATAAGTAAAGTGATGGAGAGGTGCATAAATCGCGAGCTTCTGGACTACCTCGAACGTCACAGCTTGATTAGCGACAGGCAGTACGGTTTCCGGCACCAACGATCCACAGGGGACCTCCTAGCTTACGTCACGCAACTGTGGAGTAAACTCATCCAGTCTCATGGTGAGGCTCATGTCGTTGCTCTTGACATCACGAAAGCGTTCGATCAGCTGTGGCACGCTGCCCTCTTAAGCAAACTTCCATCCTACGGCCTCCCAGAAAAGCTTTGCAGATGGGTGGCTGACTTTATCTCTGGCCGCAAGATATCCGTCGTAATTGACGGATTCTCCTCTTCATCCCACAACGTCAACGCGGGTGTTCCCCAGGGATCGGTCTTGGCTCCAACACTGTTTCTCTTACATATCAACGACCTCCTTTCCGGCACGATCAACCCAATCCACAGCTTCGCTGATGACAGCACTCTACATGCAGGAATTCAGAGTGACAAGCCGATCTCTGCCGCTGAGCTGGAAAAAAGAAGACTAGCGACGACTTCTTCTCTGACAAGAGACCTGGAGGCTATCGCTGCTTGGGGACGCAACAATCTTGTACAGTTCAATGCTTCCAAAACACTGTACTGTACTTTGACGAACAAAAAGCGTCCTAGCGCTCATACAGTTTCGATGGACGGTCGAGTTCTACCAAAGAGCCATTCATTTCGGCTGGTCGGAGTCCAGATCACCGAGGACCTGATCTGGCACGAACACATCTCTTCAATAGCTGCAGCTGCTGGGAAAAAGCTAGGCTATTTGTTTAGGGCTAAGAAGTACTTTTCTCCGCATGACCTTCTCACTCTATACAAGGCCCAGATAAGGCCTAGCCTCGAGTATTGCTCACACATTTGGGGTGCTGCCGCCCCGACTACATTGTCCATGCTCGATGCTATCCAGAGGAGGGAGGTCCGACTGATCGATGACTCTTCTCTAACAGACAGTCTCGGGACTCTTTCGCACCGGCGGGCCGTCGGCGATCTAGCTCCTTTCTATCGCTACACCAACGGGCTTTGCTCCTCAGAGCTCTCTTCTATGATGCCGCCGCGCGATGTGCCTGCCAGACAGACTCGCCTGACTTCGGCGTCCCATCCTAACCGTGTCAAACTTCGT